TAGGCGTCTTCGATCCGCCGCCCCCTGCTTGCAGGGGTGCACGGCGTGCTGGATGATTCAGGTTTTGGTTTTGGTTCTTTTTCTAAAAGAACTCCCCAGTGGGCTTCGGCCCGTCCCGCCGGCCACCCGCAAATTGCCCAAAACCCATCTCTCAATGCCCAAAAACGGCCGTTTCGCTCGGGACATCCTCAAAAAATCGCGAAGATGGCCCAAGATGGCCTCCAAGTCCGCCCGAGATGGTCCAAGACGGCCTCCAAAACGGCCCAAGAGAGTCCAAGACGGCCCAAGACGGCCCAAGAGGCCCCCCAGAGGCCTCCCAGACGGCCCAAGAGGCCTCCAAGAGGTCCTCCAGGAGAGTCCGAAGAGGCCAAAATCATTGATTTTCCATTGGTTTTTGAAGGATTTTGGCATTTGCGCCTTTTCGGCTCTCCGACGGCTCAAGACGGCCCAAGAAGCCCCCAAGATCGCCCAAGAGGCCCCCAAGAGAGCCCCATGATGGCCCAAGTGGCCTCCAAGATGGCCCCTAGAGGGCCCCAAGAGGGCCCAAGAGGCCTCCAACACGCCCAAGATGGCCTCCCAGACGCCCAAGATGGCCTCCAAGACGGCCCTAGAGCATTCCAAGCGGGCCCAAAGTCGGCCCATAGAGGCCCCCCAAACGGCTTCCGACGGCTTCAGACGTGCCAGGAACCCACCAAGATGGCCGACGTTGGCTCGAAGCTGGCCCGAGACGGCCCAAAAAGCCCCAAAGATCGCCCAAAGCTTGCCCAAGAGGCCTCCAAGACGGCCAAGATGACCTTCAAGATGCCCACGTGTTCCCCGAAGGCTTTCCAAACCGATTCGGGGAACACGTGGTCCGATAGCTTGGCAGGTCTGGCCTCAACGTTCGGCCACATAGGCGCTTCCAAAAAGGCAGGGGGCGGCGGTGATTCGCCGTAGGCGTCTTCGATCCGCCGCCCCCTGTGGTCTTGCCACAGGGGTGCACGGCGTGCTGGACGATTCAGGTTTTGGTTTTGGTTCTTTTTCTAAAAGAACTCCCCAGTGGGCTTCGGCCCGTCCCGCCGGCCACCCGTAAGTTTCCGAAAATCCATCTGTCAATGCCTTTGTTGCCCCAACTTGGCCCAAGATGGCCTCCAAGACGGCCAAGATGGCCCAAGATGGCCTCCAAGATGCCTCCAAGACGGCGAAGATGGCCTCCAAGACGGGTAAGATGGCTCCAAGATGCCTCCAAGACGGCCCAAGATGCCCTCCAAGACGGCCAAGATGGCCCCAAGATGCCTCCAAGATGGCCCAAGAGGCCTCCAAGACGTTCTCCAGGAGAGCCCGAAGAGGCCAAAATCATTGGTTTTCCTTAGGTTTTTGAAGGTTTTTTGCGTTTTCTTCTTTTCGGCCTTCCGACGGCCCAAGAGGCCCCCAAGATCGCCCAAGAGGCCTCCAAGAAGGCCCTATGACGGCCCCAAGAGCGCCCCAAGACGGCCCAAGAGGCCTCCAAGACGCCCAACATGGCCTCCAAGACGGCCCTGAAGCGCCCCAAGAGGGCCCCAAGACGGCCCAGAGAGGCCCCCAAGACGGCTCCAGACGGCGTCAGACGGACCAGGAACGCCCTAAGACGGCCAAAGAGACCCCCAGGAAGCCCCCAAAGGCCCCCAAGAGGCCCAAGGAGGCCCCCAAGATGCCTCCAAGAGGCCTCGAAGAGGCCCCCAAGAAGTCCCCAACAGACCCCAAGGGTGCCCCAAGAGACTCCTAACAACCCTCATCCTCCTACTCTACTTCTTCCTCTTCCTCTTCCTGTTCATAATCATTCTCTCCCATGTGTTCCCCGAAAGCTTTCCAAACCGACTCGGGGAACTCATGGTCCGATAGCTTGGCCAAGCTCTAGTCCAACTTTCGGCCACATCGGCGTTTCCAAAAAGGCAGGGGGCGGCGGTGATTCGCCGTAGGCGTCTTCGATCCGCCGCCCCCTGTCGATTCATCGCAGGGGTGCCTGGCGTGCTAAACTATTACAGTTTTGCTTTTGTGTTTTCCCAAAAGAGCTCCCCCTGGGGATTCGGCCCGTCCCGCCGGCCACCCGGAAGAGGTGGTTGCCATCGCCAAAAACGGCCGTTTCGCTCGGGACGTCCTCAACAAATCGCGAAGATGGTCCAGGATGGCCTGCAAGATGCCTCCAAGACAGCCAAGATGGCCTCCGAGGCGGCTAAGATGGCCCCCAGATGCATCCAAAACGGCCTAAGATGGCCCCAATATGGTCTAAGACGGCCCAAAAGGCCCGCAAGAGGCCTCCAAGACGGCCCAAGAGGCCTCCAAGAGTTCCTCCAGGAAGGCCCGACGAGGCCAACACCCTTGACTTTCCTTAGATGTTTGAAGTATTTTGGCGTTTGCGACTTGTCGGCTGTCCGACGGCCCGTGACGGCCCCAGAGGCCGCCAAGGTCGCCACAAGATCGCCCAAGGGGCCTCCAAGATGGCCCCATGACGGCCCAAGAGGCCCCCCCCCAAGACGGCCCC